TACGTCTCAGCAGAGAGGCAGGACAGAAGTCCACGGTTATCCTTGGCTGTATACTGATTTCAAGGTCCTGTGATGGAGACCCTTCTGAAAATCAAAATCACTAAAACAAAAGCAAAACCTTACTTTCCACTCTTCACGTAGGGATAAAGCCACTGAAGGGTATCTTTTTTTTTTTAAGTTTTATTTATTTATCTATTTTGTTTACAGTGTTCTGTCTGCGTGTATGCCCGCAGGCCAGAAGAGGGCACCAGAACTCATTACAGATGGTTGTGAGCCACCATGTGGTTGCTGGGAATTGAACTCAGGACCTCTGGAAAACAGCCAGTGCTCTTAACCACTGAGCCATCTCTCCAGCCCCCATTGAAGTATCTTAATTTGTTCGTGCTGCCAATCGGTCTGGACCGGATAGGGCACGCCTTTAATCTCAGCATTTTTTTGAGGCAAAGACAGGCAGATCTCTGAGTTCAAGGCCAGCCTGGTTTACAGAGTGAGTTTCGGGTGAGCCAGGGCTATGTTGTATGATGTTTTACTCTTTTGGTGTTTTTGAGGGTCCCACCACCCAGCTCCCAAATAAATCACACACAGAGGCTTATATGAACGCCTGGCCTTAGCTTGTTTCTTTTTTTTTTTTTCTTTTTATTTTTTTTCTTAGCTTGTTTCTTGCCAGCTTTTCTTAAATTATCCTGACTACCCTTGGCCTCTGGGGTCTTATCTTTCTTAATTCTATATATGTTTTTTTACTTCTTTTTCTGCGGCTTGCTGTGTGGCTGGCCCCTGATGTCCTCCTCTTCTTGTTCTCTGGCTCCTTGTTTCTCCTTCTATTTATCCTCTCTGCCTGCCAGCCCTGCCTATCTTTGTTCCTGCCTCGCTATTGGGCATTCAGCTCTTTATTGGGACCAACAGGTGTTTTAAACAGGCAAAGAATCACAGTTCCACAGTTGATCAAATGCAGCATAAACAAAAGCAACACACTTGAAAATAATATTTCCCAACAGGGCTACATTGTGAGACACTTGGAGGCATTTTCTCTTTTGAGTCTCCCTCCTTTCAGATAACTCCAGCCTGTGTCAAACTGACACAAAACCAGCCAGCACCAGTCCCATGTCAGGACAGAGCCCTGCTGACTGAACCACCTTCTAAAGATTCTCCCATCACTCCGAGGGCTGAGCCGTGGGGCACCAGCATGCAAACACAGCCGGGGTTGTGAGCAAGCACAGGAGTGGCATGGCCCTGCTTGTCTGTAGGGAAAGTTTGTACTGATGTTTGAAGGGACCTGCAGCGGTGGTGGTGGGGAGGAGAGACAGAGCCAGTGAGCAGGGGACACATGGTTTGTGATCAGACACAAATCATTGCGGAAAGGAGAAATTGGCTTCTGTCTGGAGCCAGTGGCAGAGCCTTGGTCTAAAGGTCTAGCATGTGTTTGGGTGTCGGGAGCCTGATGTACAGCGCTGTCCCCGGAGAGGAAGCCAGGGATGATGCTACGGAACAGGTGTGCACTTGCCAACAGAGGAGGTCTGTGGAGTCCGGGCCTGAAGAGCCGTCACTCTCTGCCTTTCCCACGAGTGCCTGTGCTGAAGGAGGGTAAGATAATATATACTCCACATCTTAAGAGTGAGACGTTGCTGCCCTGAGGAGAACCAGACTGAGTATCCCTTCTGTGGCTCCAGCCTGGCCGACCAAGGCCCATGGCCTCTGGATGCGACTAGACCATGAGACACTCATATTCAACACAAACTGTCCTGTCTGGCTCCTACCTGAAAACCTCCTCGGAGTCTCATCACTGAGCTGTACTGGATCAGGCCCGCCACTAGAACCCTCCCTTCGCCGGGCTCCCGCACCAGCACCAACACCAGCCCATGAACATTGTTAGGCAATAGAAGTCGTTAAGAAAACAAGCGTTCCCTGCCCAGCCAGCTGCCCGCCGGCTGTTCTACACCTCCTGCAAGCAGTGATGTCATACAAAACTGAAGCCCAAACCCTCATTCCCGGTGGACCAGAGAGCCAGCTGAGCCCCAGGCCCTGCTCTGCTGCCACCCCCCCCCCACTCCCACTCCCAGGGCAGAAGCAGAGGTGGCATCCACAGAGCTGTTCATCCTTGCCAGTTCTGGGTCCTGAAGTAACTGCTTCACTGAGACTCTAGAAAGCCCGAACTTCCACACTCTAGTATTCCAACTTCCTGAGGGCACCCCAGAGTTTAAGCAGGTCTGTGAGGTCATGGAAGTCACTTCTCCCATTTCCTCACAGGGGATTGTGGATTGGTGGGAGACTTGCCAAAGGGTTGTCCTAAGGAAGTGGGAAGGGGCTTTATTCATTAGACGGTCCTTACTAATCCCACACAGTCCAGGTCTCTTCTTAGACTGACCCCATCTCAACCAGGGCAGCTGAAGCCAAAGAACTGGGAAACCTGAACTCCCTGGGAACAGGACACCTGCCCCTGCATTAGCTGCAGAGTATAGATTTCTCAGGAGCAGATCCACAGGGGATTTGCTGGGAGGCATGGGAGGTAGGGGGGTTGGCAAGGGACATCTGGAGTGGCAGGAGGCCTGCTGATGGCTGCAGCAGACTGGAGGATGAGAACAGATGCTAGACAAGGGGCGTGGCTTAGGAGATTGGGGCGAGCAGAAGGCTGAGCTCTGGAGCTGTGCTGTGAAGGGAGGTTACTGTTCCCAGAAAACCCAGCAACTGCCTCCAGTCTCCAGTGCATTTCCCCTGCATCACCTCCTGTAACACCTGCGTCTGCGTTACCCTATGGGTACAGCGCCACTGTACCATAAGTGAGCCAGGCAGGACCTGGAGATTGAAAGAACACACAAGAGACCTGGGTCATTCGAAAGGAGATCAGCCAAATGCAGTTTATTCAAATTTAGGGAAATCCTTGTACACCTAGCTGCTGCACAATGGAATACCCCCAGGCAGGTGGGAAATTACCACGCCCAAGGTGGAGTCAACAATGCCCTATAGCTAATCACCAGACAGGGCAGAGGGAGCACAGGAACAAACAGGAAATGCTGGCTGGCCAGAGACTGTCCTCAAAATGAACCCTGGGAGCAGGGGTAGACCCATGGACCCTACAACCTCCCTCCTTGTAAGTCCCTCACTGTGAACTCAGTGACCAAGTGAGAGCCTCCTGACAGGGACAAAGGCTGTGTGTTCAGGTGAGGCAGGCTAGAGTCTGGAGAGTTTCCACCACAACGTTCATGACCAGCAGAGGGCATCACCATCCCACAGGGAGGCACCCAGGACTACCCCTCCCCTGCTGGAGAATCCAAGGAGATAGCAGAGAAGCAGGGGGTGATCAGGCCTCCCCCAGCCGTCAGGAGTCCTGGCTTCCCAAACCCACCCTCTCTGAGGCTGCTGTTACAGGCAGGAGGGCTTGCACCACACTCATCCTTTCCAGCTCTGAAATCCTAGGATTTGAGGAAACCATGCCAAGGACTTATAGAAATCGCCTTTTCTGGGTTCACACTTGCTCTGGGTTTTCTAGCACCTTCCTTCTCAGGTGAGAACTTCAGTCCCCTGTGCTGGCTTCTCCCTGGAGGTCAGAGGCTGCCGGACTTGCACGAACTGGGACTATGGGGAAGACTATCTGCTCTCCGTCAGCCGGAAGGTCTGTGTCTAAGGCTGGTAGACAGATTCGTTAAGTAATCCTCTGGAGTAGGGAGGTGGCTCCTTCAAAGAAGAGGTTGTGCAGGGTCCTCTTGGGGAGGGGCCTTTCATGGATAAGCACTGGAATGAATATGAACGAAACTCTTGGGCCGTCTGTCTTTGAAATTCCCCTCCCCCTCCCCCACTACAGATGTCGTCTGTCAGGAGCAGGCAACAGACGGCCCAGAGGTCCATCTGCGTTACTGTTCTCAATAGAGTCCCATGTTTCCCCACCGACGCTCTCTTGGCCCCTCGACTGACTGCCACTTGGTGATAAAGGAAGGAGAAACACTAAGGTAGCTAGACCTCAGTTCTAAGACACCCCTACTCCCAACCTGTAAGCATCCTGCCATATGGACTTGTGCAATTTCTGAGTGTGGAGAAACACCCCTCCTACCTCCCTCTTGTATGGTGTGGGGGCGCAGGGGTCTGGGGGTGGGCAAAACACAGGGAAATAGCCAGACTGCTGTACTGAAGGTAGAAGAAAGCCTTCCCCGGCCTCTGAGATATGGCCTTCTGGCCTTTGCTCCCTCCTGCCCCCGCCGTGGTATGTGGTATATGTCTTACATAGTGCGTGCACAGTACGCTGTCCCCTGCCGGACCAAGCGCCTCTGTTACACCAGGGTCCAGCCAGTTCCTGATATGAAGCAGGGCCCACTGAAGTCAGAGGAGGTAGGCTGGAGCCCTAGATCCAGGCGGCCTTGTTCCGGACCTCAACTTTGCCTCAGTGATCCTCCCTCCCCGGCAAGGTGCTTTCTGCCTGGGTGTCTCCTCCTCTGTCAGGGGTAACAGTGTACCTACTTCATAAGGTCGAAGCGCACATGTAGTGGCTCATCTCCGAATGTGGAACCGGCCCTCACTGTGGTAGCTAGACACTGACCACTTTCCTCTCTCACTTCTTATTTGGGAGTTACACAGACGTGGGCTGGGTCATCGTCTCTCCTGCACTCTGGCAGCCATGGTAACAAAGAGCATGAGGAATGGTGTCTAAGACAGGATTAGAGAATGGCTCAGCCCCAGCTCTGAGCACCACTGAGGAAAGGGGAGCCTGAACTCCAGCACGGGGAGCGGGGCTCTGAATTAAATCTACTTGCAGGTTTCCGCTGTCTCCCTTTCTCCCGGCTTTGGCTGGGAAAAAAAGGTAGCTATTCCAGGATGCAGGTGGAAGGCGAAACCCACATCCCCTCACACCCACTGCGAGGGGCTTCTGCAGTCAGTTCATAGACGTCTCCCTGTCCTTCTTCAGAAACCATAACCCTCCCCTTGCATGTCCCACCTCCAGGCTTCCCCACCGAGTCTGACCCCCCCACCCTCCTTTCCCGGATCCCAAACCTTCCCTCAGCTTATTTACCACTTTTTACTGTGCCCGCATCTCCACGAACCACTAAAGCCATCGTTCATTCCCAAACTTCAAATCTCATCCAACAAGCATTCACCGACTGCTTCCAGTAGCACGGATTGCCCAGATGTCCTGTCCCTCCTGCTGCCGTGGGTGACTAGGCCTACCCCACTGAGTGTCCAAGTTCCCCAGAGTTTCCCGAGCCCGGCGGTCCACGGCGCGCTGAGGGCGGGGCTCGCCATAGCGGGTCCCCCACCCCCGGGGCGGTGCCTGCGTGTCGGGGGCGAGGCCATTGGAGGCCGCTCCCCACGCCTCTCGGGAGTCTATAAAGCAAGGCTACACGGGGCCCGCTCGGCTGGACTCCCCCAGCCATCGCCAACACCGCAGAGCAGAGTGAGCGCAGCCTCCCAGGGGCGCCGGGCGCCGGAGCCATGACCCTCCGCCGACTCAGGAAGCTGCAGCAGAAGGAGGAGGCTGCGGCCGCACCGGACCCTGCTGGTCCGGCTCCCGACTCGGAAGCAACTCCGACCCGCTCGGGCCCCCCAGCTGCCGCCGCTCCGCCTGGAGCCCCGGGGGACGAGCTGTACGCCGCGCTGGAGGACTACCATCCTGCGGAGCTGTACCGCGCGCTCGCAGTGTCCGGGGGCACCCTGCCCCGCCGAAAGGTGCGTTCCCTAACCTACGCCCCCAGACTCAGCGCCAGGGCCACCCGCCTCGCTCGGCCCTGTCCTCAAAAGGCGCCCACTCCCGGCTCGGAAGGCGGTGGTCCCAGCCACCACAACGCCCCCAGTTGGGTTGGCTCTCCACTCCACTCCCCACGCGCGAACGCCCCATCTCCTCCCACTCTCCTGCTTTGACTCCGCCCCAGCACCCCCTTTCTCCTCCTGGCTCCATCTGGCTTTCTGCCGCCTCCCGCTCTGCCTGTCGGTGTCTAGAAGTCTAGAAACTCTCAGGACCCCCTAGCCGAGCACCTCCTGAAGTTGGAGCAAGAAGGGCTAGGGAAAGAACCCCGCCACTTGCTTCAGACAAGTTGAGGGTCCTGGAGCCCCGGGCGAGAGAGAAACTAATGGCTCCTTAGAAGTAGTGCTGCGAATTCCCGAGAACACCCCTTCCGCTAGGACGCCGGGCTTCCCGGGCTCAGGGACTCACGCTTTGTCCCGCATCTAAGATGCGGGTTGTGAGAGCACCGCCCTCCTGACTTCAGCCAGGACCGGACGCGGTGGGAGAGGTCACAGGGCAGGAAGGATGCGGGCCGCACCCGCTCGCTCTCTGCGCCCCCCCCCCCCGTACTCCCCCGTTAGTGAGACTGTTCCTCTGGCCTGGGAAGACCTGAGTGCTGAGACCACAGACTTAGGTTAGGGAGAAGGGATGGGTGGCCTTTCCACGCGGCCCCCTCCTTCTCTCCTGGTCCCTGGCTCCCCACTTTACACAATGAACAGCTTGTTGAGAATTTGCATTTTATGAAAATCGGGTTGAAAGACAAAGGGGTCTCTCTGTACTACCCAGTCCTTCCTCCTTGGCCTATTTGGGTACTGTCCCCACCCTGAGGCTAATCTTTGGTTCTGAAAGAGGGTCCCCTTCTCTTCCTAGCTTTGGGGCAGCTTGGGGGTTAGGGAGTGTTACCCAGAGCACAACCCAGGAAGGCCTCAAGCTGTTTTGGCACTTTGGGGAAGGGCTGATCCCGGATGGGACTTCCTCCATCCTCTAAGAACTAACATCTTAGGAGGGACAGAGTTTGTTTTAGGCTCTCTGGGGCCCTGAAGAGTTAGGGGAGTCTTCTCCAAAAAAGAAACCCCCGTTTCTCAACTATAGTGTGAGACAGGTTTGACTCGGATTTTTTTATTTAGTTATATACTTTGTTTTAAAAAATGCACGGCAATATCAAGAGACTCAGGTCTATCTGGAGGACAGACAGCCCGCTGCATCCACAGCCGGCCCCTAGGCAACCTGTTCTTAGGAGCTTTGGCACCTCTACCACCTTCAGGCTGGCACTGCCAGCCTCCTGTCCGAGCTCCTGACTCTCTGCTTTCCCAGACTACTGTCTGTCTGAACCATTAATTGGACAGACCCAGCTGGCTGGGACCCTGGACTTATTAGGACCTTAAGTCCGGTGGCTTCTTACCCTTCTTTCTCTGCAACTAGGGGAAAGCTCCTGCCTCAGCTTTTGGGGCCTGGAAGGCCTCAGACATGATCTCAGCAGTGAAGATCATTATAAAGTCACAATCTTCCCCAGCTGGTTAGTGGAGGATAAGAGGTCACCCATCTAGAACCCAGAACAGTTGTGTCCCAGAGGTCCCAGGGTTGGTGTGAACTCCGGGAGGGGGAATAGTAGCTGCACTTGGCAGATAGTTACACCAGCACCAAAGCAGAGGGCAGGTTGGGAGGGAAGACTGGCAACAGGAAGTGGGGTGCTACACTCAGAACTGGGATTCAGGTCAGAGTCTCAGCACCTGCTCAAGGGCAGCCCCACTTCTCACTATCTTTTCTGGCCATTTTCCTACCCAGGGCTCAGGATTCCGGTGGAAGAATTTCAGCCAGAGCCCTGAACAGCAGCGGTGAGTCACCCCCACCCAAAGCCCCTGCTGTGGTCCAGAAAAGTGAGGCGTTGGGGGAGGGGGAGCAACACACAGCAGCTCAGCCCACTCCCCCTGGAAGGCTTTTTCCATCCTTGAGCATCACTTCCCTGCTGGGATTGAGGGGCAGGTGGGGGTGTGGGCTGTATGAAGGGGCGGCAGAATAAGGGGGGCACTTTTGAGTCATTAGGTGCTCCTTAACCACCCCCAATCTCTGTCAGTTGCCTCTTCCTGGATTAGTGAGAGGTGGCGGCTGGGAAGTAGGAGACACCGTGGGAGTATCCTAACTTGTCCTCTGTGGCTTCCCTAAGCCCACTCAGCCCACCACAGTAGACCCAGACTCTATATGACCAGATGTTTGAGTCTGACACCCCAAACCTTTAGTCTCATCTGGGTCCCATCCCGTGGTCTCATCCCATGGCTGCAGTTGGATTTGAGATGTGGAAGGGCTCGGTGCTTACCCCAGGACCCGAAGCTTAGGTTCCTTTTAGCCCATGTCTCATGCCTGATTTGGACCTGGCTTCCCTTGAAATGGGCCAGCAAACTGTGGCCTACTGGACAAACTTAGTTTAATTTTTTTGGTTTTATTTTTCTTATTTGTTTGTTTTGTTTGTCGTTTTCTTTCTTTTTCTTTTTTCTTTTTTCTTTTTTTCTTTTGAGACAGGGTCTCTCTGCAGACCCCTGGCTGTAGACCAGGATGGCTTTAAACTCACAGAGATCCTCCTGCCTCCACCTCCCCCGTGCTTAAAGGTGTACACCACCATGGCCAGTGTATTTTAATATTTTAAAGGGTTGTAAAACAAACCCTTATGACAGAAGCCATATGGGCCACAAAACCTAAACTATTTAACATCTGACTCTTTGCAGTAAAGTCCACAGACCCTGCCAGGAGCCCAGAAAGCACTGGGACAGACACAGGGCTTCCAGGCTCCCTGCTCCTGCCCCAGAAAACACAGGGCTAAAAGTTCCTTTCTAAGAAGGGGGAGTGAGCTGCATTGGGTGGCAGGGGGTGTGACTCAGGCTAGGAGCTGGAGGCCGGCTCTCCAGAGCCTTTCTGAGGCTGCCAGACTTAAAGGGGCCTTAGGATCCACTTTATTCTGCCTCTGGCTGGCGGGAAGGAAGGGGAGGGGGTGGGCAGAGGAAACCCTGGACTCCCCCAGCAGGCTAGAATCTGGAGTGGTTCCAGACCATTGTGTCCAGCCGGCAGCCTTCAGTTCGGGAAGGGGTGGCCCCAGGCTCCCCTCCCCCAGCCTTCACATCTGGTGGGCTGGCCACACCACAGCTGGGAGGAGCGGCTGTGGTCTGCGCCCAGCCTCGTGACTGGCCCCCGGGGGGTGGGGGGGGTGGGGCTGTCTTCTCCCCAAAGCAGCTGAGCTAGGATGCTCTTGCCCTGGGGCCAAATTGGGGGCCTCAGTTACTGAGTTGAGTACGTGTCTGGGATGCTGCTAGGCGGCCACCTTTCTCAGGGACAGCCTATCCTGATGCCTCCCTCCTCCCCCTGTAGACAGCTGATTTAATTCTGTGCAGCTTCCTGAGGCCAATTTCAGTTGGGTTTGGGAAGGGCATTCCAAAAATCTGTAAAGAATGAGCTGTCACTGGAGACTCTGGGTCCTCCTGGAATGTTCTAGATCAGCCTTCATCCTGGAGAGCTAAGCTGAGGGGCTGCCACACTCTTGTTTTTGTTATTATATTTTGAGACAGAGCCTCACTATGTAGCTCAGACTCAAACAGAACATCCTCCCGCCTCAGTATCTCAAGTGCCAGGATTACAGATTCGGGTCACCATAGCCAGCTAGCTCTTCCATACTTTCCTGGGTTCTCGTAATCGTTACCCTGTATGTTCTGCAGGAAGGTGCTGACTTTGGAGAAAACGGACAACCAGACCTTCGGCTTCGAGATCCAGGTGGGAAAAACTGGGCATAGAGGGGTCAGGGGTCAGGAGGCCAGTCTGAAGGCTGGGCAGATCTGTTAGCCTCTGTTCTGAGTGTCCTGTTGCTTGTTCACAGACTTACGGCCTTCACCACCGAGAGGAGCAGCGTGTAGAGATGGTGACCTTCGTCTGCCGAGTTCACGAGTCCAGCCCTGCCCAGCTAGCTGGGCTCACACCAGGTAGACCTTGAGCCCAGAACACAGGGCTCTGGGATCGTGGAGAACTTTACTCCTAAGAAGAGACATTAATGTTTTTTTCTCCTTCATCCTCCAACTTGGAGAAGGCCAGAAAAACGAACAGAATCTGGTTTCAGGCACGCTGGCTTTTTAGTGAGGGACCCGTGGAGTTCTTGACGGACAGCAGTGTCGTGAGATGGTTCCCTGAGCCCAGAGCGGAGCCCAGGGAAGAAATGGTACTGCCGCACAGCTGTTCCGCTTCCTGGCAGCTGTGCGGCCCAGCTGGGCAGAGTCTGGTAGAAGAGCCAGGTCTTTCAAAATGGTCCATGAGACCTCTCTTACCTACTCCAGCTGGGCCCCAGGTGTTCTCTGGCCCTCACCTGCTTTCCCACATACCAGCGACACTTTGCTAGGTAGCTCCTGGTTGTCCTTGCTGTAGTCACAGCCAGGATCCATACTGGTTTTTACAGATGGCAAACAAGCACTTAAAGTCTCCAGCAAGCCCTGCCCAGGGTCAGGGCCTGACCTCCAAAAGCTGAAGCTTCACATGCCTGGAGCCGGTGCCAGCTCCCAGCTGGGCACTAATCCCATGCCTTCCCTATACTGAAGGAGTCTCTAAGACAGGTCTGGGAGAAACAGATGTAGCTAACTCCAGGAGGAGCATGGAAACCTGGGAGGGCTCCTGTTGGGAGAGAGGGCTTCCTAAGGGTGTGTCTCACAATTTAGCTCTTCTCACATCCCCAGCGCTGAGCCTAGGTTTCTCTCTCCAACAACCTGGTGGTCTCTGTGCAGGGAGAGATGCTATGGTTTTGTATACTTCTGTTGTGTTTGGAGACAGGGTTTCTCTGTGTAGCTCTGGCTGTCCTGGAACTCACTCTGTAGACCAGGCTGGCCTTGAACTCACAGAGATCCGCCTGCCCCTGTCTCCTGGGTGCTGGAATTAAAGGTGTGCACCACCACCACCCAGCTAGGTTCTGTGTATTTTAATTGGGGTAAAAGAAATGCCCAGGTCCCCCCACCATGCAGAAGGGAATTCAGGAATAGTTCTCTAGGTTACCATTCTGCTCTTCCTGGCAGGGGACACCATTGCCAGTGTCAATGGCCTCAATGTGGAAGGCATCCGGCACCGGGAGATTGTTGATATCATCAAGGCATCTGGCAACGTTCTCAGGTATTCATGTCTAGGTGCAGTGCCTAAGGGCTCCTGAGCGCAGCCTCGCGGTGGCCCCTCCGCCTTCAGGCTCGCTCAGCCTTTGTCCCCTCGATCCCTCAGACTGGAAACTCTGTATGGGACATCCATTCGGAAGGCAGAACTGGAGGCGCGCCTGCAGTACCTTAAGGTGAGGACCAAGCCAGGCCAGGTTACCCTACTTTTCCCATGTTCAGGCCTTCAGACCCACTCTGAAGGACTCCATCTTTCTCAGCCTCCCTCAACCCTGGGACTTCTGTGCCTTTCTCTTGACCTGTGTGTCCCCATATCCTACTGGTGTCTGCTATTCCTGACAGTTGGCTGCATGTGTCTTACAGCAAACCCTGTATGAGAAGTGGGGAGAATACAGATCGCTAATGGTCCAGGAGCAGCGGCTAGTGCATGGTGAGTATGTCGGAAATCCTGACAGACGTCCCCATCAGTGCCCCCCTCTTAGAACTAGCAGGCTGCTGGCTCCACAGTGAGAGGCAGAGGTACTGTTTCGGACACAGCATCACCCTAAACTGATACACCCAGTTTTGTTCTCGCTGTTGCGCTCTGGGCATTAGGGTTGAACACCGAGAGAGTTGCGATTTGATTTATTTTTTAAAAAGAAAACAATTTCCCTTAATCCCAGCACTCGGGGAGGCAGAGACGGGGTTCTCTTGAGAGTTTGAGGCCAGCCTGGTCTATATTAGTAGGTCCCAGGACTGCCAGGGCTATGTGGAGAGACTGTCTCCAAAAAAGAAGTCTGCGTGTGTCATTCCTTTCTGTGGTCTCCCTTTCTGTCCCAAAGTGGCACTCCTGAGTTTATTAACTCCAGCTTTAGAACCAGAAGGCTGAGGCTCAAGGCAGGCCAACAGGAAAGAACTAGATATCCTGCCCATGCCCTCTGACCCTTAGCCTAGGGCACTCAGGATTCAGGAAGCTCCCTGGTCTTCTGTTGACACAGGCCTGGTGGTGAAGGACCCAAGCATCTATGACACACTGGAGTCCGTGCGCTCCTGCCTCTACGGCGCCGGCCTGCTCCCAGGCTCGCTGCCCTTTGGGCCTCTGCTCGCTGCGCCTGGGGGTCCCCGTGGGGGCGCGCAGCGGACCAAGGGGGACTCCGACGACGCCGTATACCACACGTGCTTCTTCGGCGGCGCCGAACCGCAGGCACTGCCACCCCCGCCGCCCCCCGCGCGCACGCCAGGTCCCGGCTCCGCCGAGGCCCCGGCGTCCGTGCTGTGTCCCGCTCCCCGCGCCACGCTCAGCCGCAGCGCCAGTGTGCGGTGCGCGGGCCCGGGCGGGGGCGGCGGCGGGGGCGCGCCGGGCGCGCTCTGGACTGAGGCCCGCGAGCAGGCCCTGTGCGGCGCCGGCCTACGCAAGACCAAGTACCGCAGCTTCCGCCGGCGGCTGCTCAAGTTCATCCCCGGACTCAACCGCTCCCTGGAGGAGGAGGAGAGCCAGCTGTAGGGGCGCGGGTGGGCAGGCGGGAGGTATTTATTTATTTATTCATTGTAACAGTCAGTGCAAAAATGGGAGCAGTAGTGCCGGTCCAAGGACCTCAAGAACCCAAAGCTGCGGAAGAGGGTCCTTGCTAGCTCTGGCAGGTCTGGTCGGTTCACGGCTTGTCTCTGCTGAGGAAAAAGGGAGCTTAGTTGCTTTCTTTCCTCCCCTACATCACCACAGGATCTCTGCAGTGGGAGTTGGGAGAGGTCTGAGGGACCAAAGAGGGCTGTGCAGCCTGCAGTCTGGGCCAGTTGTGCCTTGTGGGGGCCTGTCCCAAAAGCCCTCTCCTCAGCTTTACTTGCTCCCCAGTTTTAGCTCCTTGGGGAGAGGAGATCCGTGATGGGTCATTCCCCACCCCGTACACACACACACACACACACACACACACACACACACACACATCCAAGGGGGCAAGGTGCTGGGTCCCTCTCTCGAGTCTTGACCCTAAGGGCTTAACCCCTCTCCAGGGGCCTGTACTAAGTGGGTCCTGCCAGGCAGGGGTCCTGGGTTCTGCGCTCCTTGGGGAACAGGAAAGAGTACATTCAGGTGGGGTGGGGCAGTCTGGACTGTACCACTTTTTTTTTTTTTGCATATGTTACTTCTAAACCACAAACTGTATAAAATTGATGTATTTTGCATCTGTGTCAGCGTGGTAACTGCCTGTGGGGGAGGACTGCTCAGGCAAGCTCTGACTCCACCATGCAGCCCCCTCCAAACACACACAGGCTGCCTTTTACATCTTTCTTTTAGCCTGAAGCCAGGGAAATTGTGTAGGGGATTTTAATGAACATGTACTGGCCTGAATTGAGCCCCCACCCCACAACCCGAGCCTCCTGTTGGCGACCATTTTGAAGCTTTCCTCCCCAGATCCTCACAGCAGATATAGGGGTCTCTTGTCTAGACTCCCTTACTATCTCTGTGGGAAAGCCGGGCTCACTGGGGGGAGCACCTGAGGTTCACAAACAGCCACTGTCCACCCACCCTGTGACAGGTTCAGTCCCCTGTCCCCAGTCGGCCCATTCCTGTGAGCCATGAGGGTCTTATTTCTGGGCCCCTTACTGCTCTGGATGCTGGCTACAGACCTTCCTGGTCTCTCTCTGCATTTGATATTCCACAAGTGTCTCCTACCTCTCTAAGGCCTGCCCATCAGTCAGATGTGGCCACGCCCTCTGTGACATCACCATCTGGCGCTGTCTTGACTTTATGGGTTTAGCATTTGGCCTGCCCTCCCCACTCACAAGGTCACTTGCTTCTGGCAACAGAGCCCAGGGACTTCCTGCTTTATGTGCTGCCCAATCCTAGTACACAAGACCCTCAATACAGTGTGTTCCAGGTTAGCCCCAGAATGTCACCACGTGTCTTGAAACCTGCTGAGTGACAGACTTGGTAATCACATGGCAAGCTAGCCGCAGAGTAAGGCCTGGCACCTAAGACCCTTTCTTCATGTCAGTGGCCAGCATTCAGTTGTAGCTTTGAGAGACGTTCCCTTCCATGAGCACACCCCACTCCACATATTGTGTTTCCCTTCCGTGTGTGGACATCATTTCTGCCCCCATTCTTAGGGTCACCCTTCACACAGCCATCAGGTGACCCTTCCAAAAGCAAGCCCAGAGATGGCACCTGAGCACTTGGGGGGTGGAGGCAGAAGGAGCAAAGATGTCAGACAGCAAGTTAGGCCAGCCTGGGCTACATGAGTAGCCCTCGTTTCAAAACGGAAGAAATGCCTCAGCAGACAAAAGCACATGTTGTATATATAGACCTGATGACCTGAGCTTGATGCTCAGAACTGCAAAGAAATAAAAAAAACAACTCCTAAAAGTTGTTCTGTGGCACATGTACAACTATTCTGAACACATAAATCGCTCTCTCTTTCTCTCTCTCACACACACACTAAAATATACACATTTAATTTTAAAAAGCTTGTTTTGAAACTTTTGGAACAAGGTCTTTGTACATAACCCTGGCTGTCCTGGAACTTGCTATGTAGGCCAGGATCATTCACAGTGATCCTCCTGCCTCTGCCATGAGTACTAAGATTACAGGCATGTGCCACCACGGTTGACACATAGATTTTTTTCTTTTTTTTTGGGGGGGGGACGACAGGTTTTGAGACAGGGTTTCTCTGTAGCTTTGGAGCCTGTCCTGTAACTTGCTCTGCCAACCAGGCTGGCCTTGAACTCATAGAGATCCACTTGCCTCTGCTTCCCGAGTGTTGGGATTAAAGGCAGGCACCACTGCCTGGGAAACTGTTTTCTTTTTCTTTTTTAATCAAATCTCAACTTCTCTGTCTGCCTGAAACCCATCATGGATTCCCCTGGGAGAAAGATATGAAGTTAGAACTTTCACCGTGGCCTGCCATCACCTCGCTCTCAGCAGTCCCTCAGCCATTGGAAGCCTTGTGTAGGACACAAACCCATCCACACTTTATTGGGATGGCTTGCATTAGACCTTACGGAATCTTCTCTTTGCCTCTCTCTGCAACCTCAGATTCTTTCTCCTTCCATGTCACTGGTATTCAGACCAAACTATCTGCTCCTATCCCCAATTCTGCCAGCCTGTCTCTGGCCTCTGCCTATGCTGTTCCTCTGTCTATATTTTTCTGGATTGATTCCTTGTCCTGAGGTCCCAACTTAACAACACCCCTCAAAGATTTTTCTGGGTCCCCTGGCATCAGTCTCCGTCCCCATTATTCTTTCTCTTAAGACATTTGTTTTCTTTGTGGTATTTCTTCAGCTTGGTAGTCAATGCTGAATTCTTGTATTGATATTCTAGTGTCTGTCTTGCCAATGTTGGAGCAGGTACAAAGCCTTATTTAAAGTTGTACCTCAGGGTTGGGGTGTGGCTCAGTGCCAGAGACTTCATGTGTGAGGTCCTGGGTTCAGTCCCCACCGAGGCAGTAAATAATAAAGATGAAAACCAACTTGTGAGTCAGTTATTAAAGCTGCCCCCAAGGGCCTCATGCAAGGCCCACCCACCGCAAGTGCTTCATAAAAGCTCAAGAGGGTCACGTGCCTTCTGGGACCACAGCTGGGTAAAGGGAAACTCTGCCTCTCCACCTGTCAGCCCCAGGGGTGGGGAGAGACGGCCCCTCCTCTGCTTCACCTGCAGCTGGCATCTATGGGCTCCTCTAACAGTGTCCCTTTGTGGGTGGGCGGTAGCTGCCGTGGTGGCACCTGCACCTTGACATTGTGGTTTTCCCGGTTTGGGAAGGGAGGATGATTGGTGAGGAAAACAGCTTTTCCACCCTCTTGTGTTTGAGCAGCTGCTCTGCTTTGAGGTTGAGCATCCCTAACTCTCGGGTCTAGAGGGGGAGCCCTCTCACCTTTGTCCCCAGAGCCCAGGGCTGCCAGGAGGCCAGCTGCCTGGCACAGGTCAGCCCTTGCTGAGCTTATGGGTCTTCCTGGGTCTTCCTGGCTTCCTCTTCCCAACCCTATTCTCACCAGCCTGTCCTTACCTCCCAGCCACACAGCTGGTCTCGGAGTGATGCCAGTGGCCCTTGCCCAGGCTGAAAGGGCTCCTACTCAGCTGGTCTTTTCCACCCAGGAGAGGGGGAGAGTGGTCCAGGGTGGGGCCAGATCCCACCTCTCAGCTGATGGATGACGGCACCAGCCTCCTGCCGTGTAGGTGGGTGACAGGGAGTGACTAATGTATGAGCTGTGTTGCTAAAAATTAACCCAGGGATCGTGTTTGGTGGAGGGGGTGGGGGTGTGTGGGAAAGGAGCAGGGACTGCAGCATTGTGTGGTCGGTATTCCCTGTCCTCCCTCCCTCCTCTTCCTACCAGCCTTCTGCTCTACCCCAGGCAAGAAGGAGCCCCCAGAAATTCCAGGGAGGAAAATGGGCTCTGCTGAAGGTGTCACACAAGGCGGGAAAAGGTGCAGCCCCTCAGATGAGTTTCTGTCCAAGGTCCCCACGGAGTTGGGCCCCTGTCCTGTCTCCCCAGCATAACTTCTCATGCTTGGATCTCCTAGTCCTGGCCCCCTCCACCTTGGGCCAAAGAGGGGAGGCTTCCTGGAGGAGGGGCATAGAGGTCGGGGTAAAGAGATGGTAAGGAATGGGTTGAGTGTGTAAAACTGGTAAGACTTACTTGTGGGAGGGGAGGTAAACAAAAAGTGGCATTGACAGAGCAGGGTCTGAGATGCGTCAGACCACAGGAGGAAGGAAGGAGTCCAGTTAGGAGGGATCCAGTAGGAAAGAGGGGTAGGCTCTTAAAACGTGGTTCAGAGGGCACGGAAAAGGGCCTTGGATACGGAAAAAGGCATTGTTGGCCCCTGTGAAATCATTTGCTGAAGAAGTGACTTCATAATACCTTAGGTCCCCCAGAAAACCACACCAGGGGCCCCAAGAGCAGAGGCGGATCTAGAAGGTACTTTCTGCTCACCAGATGACGGGGATGGAGTTGGAGAAATGAGAGACCTAAGGGATTCCCCAAGGTCAAGACAGACGTCAGGTTTTATCTGGCTGGAGGCTGCCTAGTCCTGCATCAGCGAGTGAATGAAATGACCTTCACGAGGAAATGACAAGCTCAGAGAGGCCACAAAGTTCTTGAACAAGGAGACTGAGATGAGACACTTGCAAGCAGGACAGGGTGCTGCTCTCTGGTGGGGACCTGGGAATACTGCACTTCTAGGTCCTGCCCACACGTCCTCTGCTGTGGCCCCTCCACTCTCCGGTTCCACACTCCCAAAAACCATGAACCTTCCTTGTCCTCTAGCCTTTTGTTGGAATCACCCAGCTGTCCTCCTGTCTGGTCTCCCTTACTTCTTGCAGCCTACAGACTATCCAGGGAGGAACCCCTACTCCATTCACCTCTGCTCCCTGCCAGCTCAGGGCCTGGCACCCAGTGGGAGATCCAACAGTAGAGATGGGAGGTGGCTCTGATCCTGTGGAGGAAACATACTTGGATCCGACCAACATGGTTGGAGTCTGAGCGTTTCCAAATTCACTGGGCAGGAGGAGCTCCTGCTTGCCCACCTGCCAGACACTGAATGAGACCACGCCTCCTGGAAGCTGGTCCTTCAAAAAAGAACATGCAAATTCATACAAAAAGTAAAAGTGGGGGCTGGAGAGATGGCTCAGTGGTTAAGAGCATTGTCTGCTCTTCCAAAGGTCCTGAGTTCAATTCCCGGCAACCACATGGTGGCTCACAACCATCTGTAAAGAGGTCTGGTGTCTTCTGGCCTGCAGACATGCACACAGACAGAATATTGTATACATAATAAATAAATAAATAAATAAATAAATATTAAAAAAAAGTAAAAGTGATACAAATGTTGCCTTTGAGTCTCTTTCCTGACAGCTCCTGTAGAGTCTATAAACTCACTCACCGATTCCCTGTCCACTTGGCAAGCTTAGGGTGACAGCCCCCACCTACACAGCAAACAGTACTGTCTGGAATTCTCCAGATTCCTCTTTTATGGAAGGCCAGCTCGAACCCTACTTTCTCTGCTCAAACAAGCACCAGCTTGGTGGTTAAAGTGCAGCAGAGGACGTTGAACAGCACTTGTTGGCCCCTCCCCATCACCTTCCTTATTCTGGTCTAGGTGCTCAGGGTTGGACCAGGGCATTTGTGTTTTCAAAGTACCCCCAAAACAGCAGAGCAGGAGGCACCTGTCCTTCCAGCTACTCGAGAGGCTGGCACAACAGGATCCCGGGAGCATGGAAGCTTGAAGTCAAGTCGGCTTGGGCAACATAGAAAGATCCCCAATGATGGAGGTGGAGAGGAGAAGGAGAAAGAACAGGGCCACTTATAATACCAGCACTCCAGAGGCTGAGGCAGGAGGATCTCAACTTTGAGATCAGCCTGAGCTGCATATTGAGAAACTATCTCAGAAAGCAAGAAACAATCAAAAATCAAAACCAAAAGAAAACCACCCCCCCAAAACAAAACAAGAAAACCCCACCAGATATTATGTAAGGGTTGTGAAAAGGTGTTGCACGTGGGTTACACTAGGTCTCTGAACCCATTCCCACCAACACCGTGAACTGCCAGTGCAGACAGAACTAGTGGGGTGTATCTGCCTGGGGAGTGGGAGACCAGGGGACTTACACATCTCACTGGCGCAGAACCCCTCTACGCTGCTGGCCGCCTCTCTCACAGATTGGAAGGCTAGGATACCTTTGGAGACACTGCCATCTCCACTCATGCTAGGTGGTCACAACCTATACGCGGGACATGCAGGGGGCTGGGTGCAGCCAGTGCTTGGGGTGTGGTGAGGGGGTGGACACCGGGGAAGAAGCACACAGCAGGTTTACTCATTGAGGGGAAGAAACCCGACTTGTGCTGGCGCCGGGGGTTTCTGCCCCAGCCCCGGCGCGAGAGACTGTAGGGCTGACATGCAAATTCTGGACTTGAGTGGGATAGAATAAAGAGGCGACACCCCAGTAGAGTCAGCTGGGCATCGCCCTCACCACGCTCGCCCACCCTAGCACTGAGAGGCTGACGGCTGAATTGCAGAGGCAGGCTCTCTCCTGGAGGCGGAGCCGCCACGAGCAGGGTGTGGGTGGACATGGGGACTCTGCCTTGTGTTTCACAGGGAGCTAGAAGGGAAGCAGGTGGCGGAGCCTAAGTGAGTAACCGCCACCCTGCCCTAGCCGATCTCTATGCCTCAGGAAGTCCGGAAATACGATGCGGTCCTCTCCGCCCCTGATGCACTCTTTTTGTCCTTGCACAAGCCAGGCCCTTCTTGCACACCCGGGTCCTTTTTACACACCCCGGCCCGGGCCCTCTTTGCCCAAGTCCACCCGACTCCACGCCTCCGGTTTGGCATCCGGCCGCACATGCCTCACATTCAACCTAGGGGATAACCTCCCTCCCATTTACAAGCCCGAGCCTAGAGGCCCCCATCACTGCTTGGCTCTGAGGGACGGGTCGGGCGTGTGTTGTGGTTCCCGCTGCCTAGCAGAGTGGCAGAGCGGCGTCGCCCTCTGCTGGCTCACTTGGGCACTGCTCCCTCCCGTCATCGGGCCCCGGACTTGCAGGCTTCAGTCCCTTTTTTCCTTGACTTTTACTATGTCTAGTTTGTTTTTGTTTTTGTTTTTGAGACCGGATCTCACCATACCACCACAATATATTTTCAGTCTGTTTTCTTTAAAAAATTTTTATTTTATTTATTTATTTACCATATCAGTTCTCTCCTTCCGCCATATGGGTCCTGGGGATCAACTTCAGGTTGCCACGCTTGGTGGCAAGTACCCTTTCCCCCTGAGTCCATCTCACCAGCTCTTGAAGCTCGTTTTCTAAGCATATAAAGAAGGTAAGTGGGGCCATTTGTATTAAATGCCATTTTGTCCAGCTTTTGTTTTTCTCTGCAGAAGCAGGCAAACTTGTCCTGTCAAATCATTTTGTCTGAGCACCTTCTTCAGCACAACCGTGCAGGAGGGCACACTGCACAGTGTCATGTGTGCCATTCCAGGTCACTGTCCCAAGGAGGACTGGTCTCCAGACCACCTGACCCTGGAGCACACATGGTGCTCCTCCTCACGCCATGAAGGAAAGAAAGGAGGGGGCGGCCCTTGTTGCTCTGACCTGGCTCTATCCCCAGCCCTGCCCCCTCAGCGTTTTTTCCAGCACACCTGGTTGGTATTTCCCGCCAAAGCGTCTTCTGACTCTTCCTTTGTCCCTATGGCCTTTGCCCAGATAGCGACATGTCACCCAGACTCTGCTACTCGGTCATTGAACTCTGTACTCTCTCGCCATTCCCCACACTCTTTCCCCCTACTGTGGCGGCTGCACTTTTTATTTAAATAGCATTCTGGCTTTTTTATTTTTTTTAGACTGTCTCCTTATGTAACTCTGGTGGGTCTGGAAATCAGTATGTGATAGATGAACTTGGTTGG